GTAAAATTGCACTTTGGAAATGTAAGGTGTACTTTGCGAAACGCAACCCTCGGCGTCAGACTATAATAAAGTGTGAAAATGAACTTTGGAGAGTTAATTTTTCAATTTCCCTCGATAGTTGAGAAAAACGTAAAAAATATTGAGAAGATTCGTGTTAGAATAATTAGTCTTACCCTTTCGGTCATATTCAACACTATATGTTTGCAAGAAAGACTGCTACCAAAGTACACTAATTATATATATTATATATATATATATATATATATATATATATATATATATATATATATATATATATATATATATATATATATATATATATATACCACCAGTGGTGGTACCCCTAAGTATATATATAATATATATATTATATATGACACTGTATATAGACACATATAAAGGTGGTTCATCAATAACACATACAATATTTTCTAAGTACATAGGAATAACTTTATTAATAAAGACAACATACAGATTACGGTATAGCAAAAAATATGGTTCGGGTTCACCCTGCAAATATGGGGGTGAATTCCATTAATTACTCAAAATACATTTCATGAATATTACAGGCTAAGCCTTTAAATGTCTAAATACAACAAATTAAAGTTGAAATGTAAATATTTAATTATCGTAATTATCGTTAGAAATTATAAAAAAAAGAACTGAAGAATTAGCCTACCGCCTTAATAATCCATGCCATCACTTTTTTTTAATAAATGTTATGCTTGTACACATGAAAAATTTTGTAGATAATCGAACAAACTCAACAATTAGAGATTATGAAATAATTTAGTCTTGTGAAGTTAACTAATTTGCTGTGTAAACAGCAGAACAACTAATCATCTTAAAACAAATATTTAGAAAACTCCTTTTGCAAATACTGTACACGCGTGTATAGTATTAATGGAGCAGCAACAGGGCATTCCCAAGGTGTAACAATGACTATTGCCCAGCGTGTGCTTGCTAAGGCCCTGGAGCCAGATTCACGAAAGTACTTACGCAAGCTCTTACGAACGTGTACATCTTTCCTCAGTCTTTGACGGCTTTGGTTACATTTATTAAGCAGTTTACAAGCATGAAAACTTCCCATACAACTGTTGTTATTGTTATAAACAGCCTCCTGGTGCTTCGGAGCTCATTAAGTGTTTAATAATTGCAAACAAAGCCGCCAAAGATTGAGAACAGATGTACAGGTTCGTAAGTGTTTGCGTACGTGCTTTCGTGAATCTGACCCTTGTGGAGGAGGCTGCGCTCCCCAGCAAGCAGGCTGAGGGGAAATAAGGGCATCACATAGTGCCCTTCGCCTTCCACCTCACAAAAGAGGCACTATTGTCACCAATGATTTAATACCTAAGTAGTATAATCATTTTTGTGTAATTTACAAAATCCCTAGTAAGTTTGGAGATTTACATTTGGAAGCCCCCTTAGTATTTCACACGTCAGTTCAATCATGGTTTTTGACACACGACTGCGGACATTAAGGGATGTATGTATGTCACTCATTTGGAGTTTGTTTATTAGTCAATTTACGACAAGCTGGTGTGAGGGGGGGGGGGATATAGCTACCTTATCAAAACTTGCTTAAACCACACTGTAAACAACTCTACCTCATCAGTGGGAACTGAACTCTGGAGACTTAAGGCTGCAAGACTAGTATTATAGCTACTCCAACAACTGTCATCTTGTTATACAACCATTAGTCTACTTACCAGTTTAAAGAATTAATCACCTAAAATGTGGATGGCTTGTGAGCTGTGATTAGTAATTCCTATTACTTCCTGAGGATTGATCTGATAATTTCACAATATTTGTTAAGCCTATGAGAACACCTTACTGATTAGCTACTTTGTACAATATTTATAGGAATGTGCAGACTACACAGAAGCATTTCTGTAACTATTGTATATACAGGCCAAGCCTTTACACTCTTTAACATCACTGCATTTACCAGCTCGAAGCATTTATCACGACCAGTGAAAAATTATGCATAAAATTATGCATACAAGTATTACTGTTGATGACAGTACTTTTAGCTACTGAATTGTACATAGTCATAATTGATTTTATGTAGTACATGATCTCCAGCTACACAATTGAATAAGACGACAGCGTGCTACTACATTAATTCCTTAATGTTTACTGAAGAAATGCTGAAAATTTGGACGGATTTAATGAGCATGCCTATTGTATACTTACTGATAAATTCTATTACTGCCAAGGGTGTATTGAACCATACAGGAAGTAGTGTTAAGGATTCATACAGGATAGTATGATCACTGCTGAAATACAGTACTTCTTTCTTACAAAGAATATTTGATAAAAACTAATTTATGATAACATATTGATACTGAAGAAACATTATCTTTGAAACTACACTTAAGAACGAAATTATATGTAAGGAAACACACACAGTAGTTGTACGTGTTACCTCAAAAAGTAAATGATAAAAAATAAATGATGCATGATAAAAAAATATCAATTCATTGTGAAAACTGTCAAAGAGACGAGAACTATTCCTCTCTCCCTGCTTATCATGCACGACTCATCATGCTGAAATTCAATCAATTATTCAGACTAATAAACATACCAGTATGAACGCATAGAACTGCCAGGAGAGTCAATTATGCTGTCATGAGGCACACAGTGCCACCTTATCAGTTCTTAATCCCACCCATAATAAATAATTGTATGTCTCATTGATAGGTTGACCTTTCAAAAATAGTTGCCGTGACAAGTGACGGTATGCTCCGTCACTTGACTAATCATGACTAATCTTGACAGTGACTAATCATACTCCGTCATGATTAGCAAAACAGCGGGGGTTTGTAAACGTGTTTGCAAGATATGTTGGAGATCCAAGGGTAGGCTTTCACTGTAATTGTACACAAGGCGACCTTGTCTGCAGGAAGCTGGTATATGTTAAGGAACATGAAGTGATGATAATTGTAACTAAGATCATTATATGCATGTATTTTGTAGAGAAACAAAATCGGAATTTGCCGAGTGAGGTGAATTTGTTAGGCATGGGAACACTAGGTACAACAATGTTCATTGGATTAGATCTGTTCTAAATCTGTTCTCTAAAAGATTTGTTGAATATTTGGGTGAAAATTGTAATTTTGACGAATGAAAACTGTATTTGTGGACTGATGTTTTTTACAGATTTATCCTCACATTTAAATGGCTTAATCACAAAAGCCTTTGAAATCAAACTTAAACCTTTTAAACGTGATGTCGACAATTGCATTTTAAAATATTTCCCAAACCTAAAAACCGTGGCAGATTTTGAAATGTACGAGAAAACATTTAAAGTTTTCAAATGCAATTTTTGAGCATCATTGATTCTACTACTGACCAATTTTCTTTTATATTTACTAAATTCAGATAACTTGAAGAAACAGCAAGATTCATAGTGCGTAGTCGGTGTAATATTAGACAAATTGAATTTGAAAATGTTACAGCAGATTGATTAGGTCAATTTTGAGATTTATTTTAGATATTTACAAAGACCTTAGTTTGCAGGCAGAAATTTATCGACCTAAGAACTGAATTAAACAATTGTTTGGATCGGCGACAGGATTAACGCCAAAAAATTGCAGAAATTTAGATTTTGAAACTAAAATCGATTCTGAAACTACTGACTGAAACAAATCTCTTAATGGCAGTTTTAACAGTATTTCCATCGAAACTATCATGCGAGTCAGTGTTTTTAAGTGATGAATTTTGTCGTCTAATTATACGAGTTGACTTAATTACTGCTGGAACTAGCGCCGCATGTACAACTCACGCAACCAATCACAAGCCAGATATAAAAGACGTCATCGCTGGTGCGGCAGCAGAAGTCTCGGAGTAAAATAATCATATTTTCCTTTTGTCATGTCTAATAATATGAACCAAAACTTACAATTTGACGTCCACATTTCTTGTGGCTTATAATATAAGGTCAATTACTACTTAAATTTGTTTTCTTTTCAATTGTCTTGTTTAAAACTTTAATATTTTTTGTTCACAGGCTTTTTAAAATACTTCCCTTTATTTCAATCTCACTTGTTTGTTAGTAGTGAAACAAGATACACTTAAATAACCAACAGGGCTTTTTTTCCTTATCGTTCATTATCATCATTATTAATTTACTGAATTTTTATTTTTTTAGAATAACTAGTTATTAATAACATATAATTCCAAAAACTGTACCATTTAAAACGAGTCAAATGGAGTCAAATTGGTTGCCTAAACAGACTTCTTTAAGAAAGATTTTCAGAATTTCCTTTCTCCATAAAAATAGTAAAGCACAATAATAATATTAATAATTTGTGGCTGAAAATTTTCATGGGCACACAGGATAACGTTTCAAAAGATAACTATCAATTTGGCACACGCTCAAAAAAAAAAAAAAAAAGTTCCCTACCCCTGACCTGGGCAACAACAATGCGAGCTTTTCAAAGTATGGTGGACAATTCTTATCTTATAAGATCTGAATGACACTGCTAGAAAATAAATATACAGGTGTTGAGAACATTAAAAACCCTCTGGCCCATAATTACCAAAGTTTGTAAACCAAACTACTCAACTGTTCAATTATCAAAGTAATGTACACCGATATCAAAAGGAAAAACCAATGGAGATTAGACGGGTTTGAAGTTAAAGAACGCAGTGTTATACTGACAATTACAAGCTAATAAGAGCAATAAAGAACCTATGCAGTCACAATAACGTGGCTAAAGTATGTTGACCAGACCACACACTAGAAGATGAAGGGACGACGACGTTTCGGTCCGTCCTGGACCATTCTCAAGTCGATTGTGTCGATCACATTCTCAAGTCGATCACAATCGACTTGAGAATGGTCCAGGACGGACCGAAACGTCGTCGTCCCTTCACCTTCTAGTGTGTGGTCTGGTCAACAATAAAGAACCTAGATCGAGGCCATTTTTATTGACATACGAATAACGTGCTTTAATAACCAAGTATCACAAGATGAAAAATAAAAATGTTGGAAATATCTATATGAACAAGAAGATTTTTATTATAGATGCTAGAATACGAAGAGGAAAAAAAAGTTTCTACACAAACCGTTTCAAAAACAAAAAATCACACAACAGGAGTGATTATCAATTTATACAATGTTGCCGTATGAATGCACAGCAAGTTTATATGTTGCATTGTGCACAACTAGAGAGTTTATACAGGTTGCACAATTAATGAAAGAATTTTCTTATGCATGCTTTGGTATGACATGTACATGGGATTATTGGTAAATGTATAAGTGCATATACGGTATAGCATACAATTACTTCATTATATGCACTTTGTGACTTAAAAAAAAAATCATGTCTCTGTCACGAAGATCAATATAAGACAATATGAGAAAATATATGATCTTTAGTATTGAACTATCAAAATGGAGATCAATTAGTAATGCTATTTTTTTAAATGCTGACAAATTATAAAAATGATTATGAAACATTAGCTATACAAGGAAATAATAAATGCCATGTCATACACAATCCAATACTTGATAAACAGATGTCAATAACCTCACATACGAAATAAACACTAAATATTGAATTTTTTTATAAACATGGGCTGAATTTGCACAAGTTGGATATCACTCCGATATTAAATAATCCAAATGATTTAATTTGGATTATTATATAAATCGGATATCTTATCTTATCTGAACTATAATCCAAGTCGGATATCTTGATCCACTTTGTACCATTGCACAAGTCAGAGATCTCTTGTCCAATATGTACAAGTTGGGTATCTATTGCACCATTGTACACGTCTGGGTATCTATTGTTCAATCTGCAGTGTTGCACAAGCCGGATATATCTTGCCCACTTTTTTACCATTGCACATGTTCAATATCTCTTATCTGCTTACCACCATTGCACAAGTTAGGTAACTTTATTCAATATGTACCATTGTACACGTCGGATGCATCTTGTCCACTACGAGTTACACAACATGCATATACTTAAGCATATATAAGCATATAATTAACATGCTTTGGCCAGCTTTATCCTCCCAACAAAGATCTTTGAATATTTGGCAAATACTTTTTCATGACTTGTATTTGAAAAAGAGCATAAAATGATTTCACGTTGAGTGTTCACACTACTGATTATGGCAAGTTCTGTCCAAATAATAAATACATACATCAACATTTTTAAGTGAAAGATCCTCAATTGCATGTAAAATATAACTTTAGTTGGACCAATCCAACCACCATATGGCGATTCTATACGAGGTATATCCTTTGAAAACTCAGTAAATTAGGGGTATACCATGAAATAATATTTTCTGTCTAAAGATATATACTTTATCAGTGAGAATTAGCTGTATACTCATCATCAAGTACTACTCTAGATTTTCTGAATGAACAGCATGCGACCCCGTCACCCTCAAACTGGGTATCATCATCATCACTATCTTCTAGTAGCCTCTCGTCGTCCCTTCTTAAGCGAGATCGAACTTTGTCTATCCATTCATTTATTCTTGCCTTAATAGCATTAAACTTCGATGCGTTAGAGTTTAACTCTTCATCTGGAGAATGAGATGTAGTGCGCACTCTTTGGAAGCTCTCATAGCCCGACTCTAGAGAATTGTGCCTATTACAAGTCACTCTTTCTCGCAACATTCTAAATGAATAAGTTATCCTTAAAATCCACGTTGGCCGATCTTCTATGCCAACACCTCCGGGGTCCGGATCCATAGGCAGGCACGCAAATATTTTATCAAACACGAAGTTACAAAACTTCTTGGTAGCTCGCCATGAGGAGAGGTTTGGTGGTTGAAATGGAGGGCTTGATCTCTCTCGGTACAGTTGATAACCCATACCAGATATAAAGAGTAAGATCCACAAGCACAGCAAGATGATATCTGCAAAATGTTTGGGATATACAGTCAAGTATGTGACATTCACATCTAGAAATTGCAATGGTGAGCCGTCCTGTATTAAATGCTGGAATTTACACAGTGGATGGAGAGTCAATAAATATTTCATATAAAACACAGCACATTAAAATATAATTTAGATAGTAGACTGGTTGGCTGTGACAATCCAATACACATTTGATATAAAACACAATACTGTACACAAAAAATATTATATATATATATATATATATATATATATATATATATATATATATATATATATATATATATATATATATATATATATATAAAGGAAGGGGGTGGTAGGAGAAAAGCACACAGAAACTGTATTGGAGGGGACCTACATTCCCTCCAATGCGTTATGTGTGGTTTCCTCCGAGGCTATGGGTCCCCCTTCTTCCAGCCAGAGGTGGTACTCCCTTCCATATTTATATATATATATATATATATATATATATATATATATATATATATATATATATATATATATATATATATATATATATATATGACAGTGTCAGACCACGGAGGAAGAATTGAAACAGGAATTTCCTTAAGTACTTTCGTATATTAATACATCTTCAGAAGGAATGAATGAATGGTTGCTGTGTATACAGTATATATATATATATATATATATATATATATATATATATATATATATATATATATATATATATATATATATATATATATATATATATATATGTCGTACTTAGTAGCCAGAACTCACTTTTTGGCCTACTATTCAAGGCCCGATTTGCCTAATAAGCCAAGTTTTCCTGAATTAATATATTTTTTCTAATTTTTTTCTTATGAAATGATAAAGCTACCCATTTCATTATGTATGAGGTCAATTTTTTTTTATTGGAGTTAAAATTAACGTAGATATATGACCGAACCTAACCAACCCTACCTAACCTAACCTAACCTATCTTTATAGGTTAGGTTTGGTTAGGTAGCCGAAAAAGTTAGGTTAGGTTAGGTAGGTTAGGTAGTCGAAAAACAATTAATTCATGAAAACTTGGCTTACTAGGCAAATTTGCCTTGCATAGTAGGCTGAGAAGTGAGTTGTAAAAAAGAATAAGTAAAAGAGGAGACCTCAACCCTGCCGATGGTTGTCGACTCTGGCTACATTTACATTTACATTTACATGCAAACACGCGCGCGCACGCACAATTAAATGGCTCCGGTACTGAAAGACAGGAGCTACGAGGAGATTGAGGTATTATTTTATTATTCACTGTTCCGGGGGACAGGCAGCCAGAGTGTATTCCAACCCGTTCTCGCAAATTCGTAAAGTCAATATTGACTTATTAACTACGTGCATAGGTGATATACTAAACATAATAGATACCCTTAAAAAGATTCATAGAAAACACCGACCTTACCTAACCTTCTTAGTATCTTAAGATAAGCATCTTATTATTTCGTAATTACAATTATTACTTAACCTATACCTATTATAGGTTAGGTAATAATTGTAATTACGAAGCAATAAGATGCTTATCTTAACATACTAAGTAGGTTAGGTAAGGTCGGTGTTTTCTATGAAGCTTTTTAAGGGTATCTATTATGTTAAGTATGTCACCTATGCACATATTTAATAAGTCAATATTGACTTATTAAATTTGCGAGAACGGGTTGGTGTATTCATACACGTTAGGCTTATATCGAGGCCCCGCTACCCCTCCCCCCCTCTCAGGTCGAATTACTGACCCCGCCCAGGATGCAACCCCACAACAAGCTGATTAACTCCTCAGTACCTACGTACTGCTAGGTGAACAGAAGCATTAGGTGATAGGAAATGCGCCCAGCCATTTCTTTCCCGCCCGGGATTCGAACCGTGAATTCTCGATTGTGAGTCGAAAAAGAACCCGACTGTACTACCGGGACTCTTAATTATGCTAAAACTAGAAGATAGGAGACAAAGAGGCGACATGATCACGACGTACAAAATAGTAACGGGAATCGATAAAATTGATAGGGAAGAATTCCCGAGACTTGGAACTTCAAGAACAAGATGTCATAGATTTAAACTAAACAAAGCTGCCGATGAAGTATAAAAAAAAACACTTTTGCAGAGCGGTAATGGTTGGAACAAGTTAGGTGAGGTGGTGGTGGAGGCGGCCAAGACCGTCAGTAGTTTCAAAGGGCTATACGACAAAGAGTGCTGGGAAGACAGGACACCACGAGCGTAGCTCTCATCTTGTAATTACACTTGGGTATTTACGAGAGTATTTACAAATATTCTTTCTGTACAATCGACTTGAGAATGGTCCAGGATGGACCGAAACGTCGTCGTCCCTTCACCTTCTAGTTTTTTTTATTATTATTTTTCTACCACAGACGTGGCCACACATTTACAATGCTAGCCAGCATATATACATTTTCTTCTGTCCTCCATGGACAGGGTTAGAGAAGTGTTAAACATATAGTTCAAGGGTTTATTGAACAATCAACCACAGGTGGTGATTCGGTGCTTTTAAAATGCTAAGCTAACCTACATACGTAAATACATAGATACACACATTTACGTATGCCCTACATGAAGTGTTCGATGTGTCTTTTACATAGTGTCATTAATGTGCACATAAAGGTGAAATGTAATTCTGATCAGCTTCTATATATACTTTATACACATACATATACATACACACACACACACACCTTCTAGTGTGTGGTCTGGTCAACATTGTTTCTTTAAGAAAGACAATCTGCAAATGCTACAGCTGTCCAAGACACCCCCTCTGCAGATGTGTCAAATACAGGCGCACAAAACTAATTACAGCATCACGACTGATTCCTAAACGTTATTTAGACAGTCAGAGACAGTAAGCCCATGAGAACTGTGCTACATACTGTTTACAGTCGAGAGGCGGGACCAAAGAGCCAAAGCTCAACCCCCCCCTCCCGGCAAGCACAACTAGGGGAGTACAACTTGGTGACTACATACCGTATCAGTTAATATATGAGAAGTACCAAAGGTTAGTACAAGGGGGTGAAATTAATGACTTATGAAATAGTGGCAAGTGTAAATATTACTGATCAGACGAGACTTGCCGAGGATAGACCGTATAATAATAATAATAATTAT